GATGCATAAAGAGGGGACCCTAACATGATTTTCCCTTGGAATAGTTACCAGAAAATTAAGATACTATAAAACTGGGAGACTATGCACGCAATTTATTCAAACAATTTAAAAACACTCCCCCCACCTAAACCAAGCGGAAAACACGTGAAAAGAAAATAATTTAAAAACGAACCCATTTACAACGATGGCCAAACGGCCACCGGCTACCGACCTCCGCCCACAACGCCGACGAGGGCTGACCTCCTGGAGACTGACCACTCACGACCCCCTCACTCTCACCATATCATACATATTCATGCTAAAAAAGAAAGAAAACAAACATAAAAAAGAAAGAAAAAAACACCGGCATGTAGGAGTAAACCAAGTTTTTTTTTCTGCTTTTTTTTTTCATACAAAACCGGGGGTTGATACATAGCAGGTTGGGGTTATTATAACCCCAACTAATACAATATTAAATTGTTTCTCTTTCTTTTTTTATATATAATAATAAAAAAATGATGGTTACAAAATGTTTACACCTTCCGCTTTGAGATACGAGAAACTTCTTGTGCTTTGTCAATGCCATGCAAAACCGGAATAGGAATGTCCGAAACCAATGCAAGCTGATTCGTAGCTTCCTTTGTCAATCACAAGGTACGACTGCAAGGAGTGGAGCTTGTAACTCACCTGGTAAGGGATCAACTATGGAAACATCGAAGTTATTCCACCTCTTATTCCGTGGTTCAGCCATAACAGAGTTCATGTGGTTATAAAACAATAACTAAATATTCAAATAATGTTTCACCACTGATGCTGGTCCTTATTTCTCATGCAAACTCCAATAACAAATACGAGTTATTAATTAGAATTACTGGATGGTTGACATACTTAGAACTATGAAGAACACTTAAAATTGTAGGCAAGCTCACTTGCTCCAGAGTTCTGAATATTGTCAGAGGCGCAACCATTAAATCCTTGTCCATTCAGTGCAGCAGCTTCTCCTGCTTTAACTTCACCTCCAGGATTAAGGCTATACGTCTGATCGTTGCATTGCACATTGCAGGGATTCGTCACATAAGCACCACCAGAATTACATGAATCTAGAAATAAGAGTTAAAAATAGATTAGATATTCCAAGGAGCCAACTACGTTTATCAGTCAACCTAGTGCTAAACTATAATAGAATCACATGAATATGCAGCGGTATTTCAACGAATATGGGGACTTATTTAGGGGTGTTTAATGTGTTGAGCATCTCGAATTTGACTCGGTTAAAACTTGGTAAAAAGTAAAAACTCGATCGTGTTAATTCGATTCGAACTCAAGCTTGACTTGAGACCTTAACAAGCTAAGTTGAGCAAAGTTTAACTCAAATCGATAAGTTCGTGAGTAACTTATTAAATTTTTTATATAATTTTATAGTATCTCAAAAAATTATTTCATCAGAAAAATTACTAATTTACTAATAGATAATAAAAAAGATGATAAATTACTAATATATTATTTTTCTAATAAATAATTAAGAACACTAAATTATTAATTAGTAATTATTATTTTATTACACTCAAAAATCGAACCCTAATTATTATTTTAATATATTTATGTATTGTTATTTTAGTGTTTAGACTTTGAATTTGTTTCATATACTATTTAGATTTTTTTGGTTAAATTTATTAATTTATGTTTATATTAAGTTCTATATAGTATTAGTAGATTTTACTTCTAGTTAAAAATAAAATAAAAATTTTAGTGAGCTTAACGTGTAACGAGCTTAATGAGATTAACGAGCAATGAATTGAGTAATAAATTTTCTTAACGAGTATGAGTCGAGCAAAATTTTAACGAGCTTAACAATCAATGATTCGAGTAATAAATTTTCTTAACGAGCACGAGTCAAACAAAATTTTAACGAGCTTAACGAGCAAGAAGTCGAATCGAGTAACAAAACTTTTTAACGAACATGAGTCGAGCACTTCCTAACTCTCGATCGACTCGCTCGATAAGCACCCTAGCCTTATTCTACTACTAAATGAGTGGTCCTTGATTTCATTCATTCCACGAGACTTTATTATATTCTACCCTCGCAGTGACATATCTAAAAATATTTTTTAGGTGGACACATATTTACTAATAACATAAAATTTTTAAATGAAATGAACAAAATAAAATTAGAGCGAGCATCATCACTAAAATAAATAACTAACCAAATAAAATTTATATTTAAGAGTGAACAGATACTCATCTCATATAATGTGAATCCGTCGCTGACCGTTCCAATTGGGGGAGCATCTGCCGAGCAATGGGAGGTTGGCACTTGCCCCTTGGTGACACACATAAGCTAACGCCACCGGCGTATTCTCCCGTGGTCGGGGGCAATAATATACAAATCAAAACGAGCTTTGAGGAAGTTAAAATGAAACATCAAAATTTTAAAACATAGGGTTGAATTTTTAAAAGAATTGTATTATTTTTTAAGATAAATTACGTGTTTAATATTTAAATTATTAGTTTTAATATTTTTTTTAAAAAAAAATTATACTTAAAATTTAGTTTTTGTTTCATTTAGTACCCATGTTCAATATTAATGTTATTTTGAAAAAAAATTGAAAGTTTACATACTAAAACAGACAAAAATTGATAGTTTAAGTACTAAACACGTAAAATTTTTAATATTGGTACTAAAATGAAATAAAAACTAAAATTGGATATTCTTTTAAAAAAATTAAATATTTAAATATTAAAACGGATCAAAAATGATAATTTAGTTACTAAATGTGTAAATTATTCTACTTTTTATAACTATTTATTAATGATGAAATTGACTGATTTAAAAGTAGTGTGAATATATTAAAAAGCATATTTGGTGTGTTAGTAGGGGTATTATATATATATATATATATATATATATGTATATATGTATGTGTGTGTGTGTTTTGATTTTAGATCTATTTAAGTGTAGGGTTGTTTATCTAATTCAATTTTGTTCGAAATTTGATAGTGGTTAGATAAAGAAATTAAGTCTAGAAAATGATTTGGGATAAAATGTAAATCTAATTTGGTCTATAAGTTTATATTCATTTAGAAATTTGATAGTGGTTAGATAAAGATATTAAGTGTGTGTATATTCATTTAGAATATAAATCGAATTTTAACTTTAATATTCAAAATTTAAATCTAATTTGGTCTGTAAGTTTATAATATATAATATAATATTATATTATATTATATAAAAATTAAACTATAATATTATTTAATATCAAGATGTAAACATTAAAAATACATTAGTATGTATATTTTTTTAAGAAAACAATAAATAAATACTAAATGTTAACTTTAAAATAGTACTAGAACACAAAATAAGATTCGGTTAACCATTTACAAATATAAATAGATTTAGGTGAAATTCAAGGCTCATATTTTGGACAACATCAAATATCGACAAACAAAGAATAGATTATTCTAAACTCGATACGATTCATAAATACCTCTAGTTGTGGGCATAGTGTCACGTATTGAAAATGGTTATAATATCTAGCATGACCGTATATTACAAGCTTAGAAGCAAATTAGTCCCTACTTTATCAAATTGTTCAAATTTAGAATAAAGGATTGATTTACTCTTCAACCTAGAGTATAAGGATCTAATGAATAATATAATCATTAAAACATATAATTAATATGCTTAATGTTTAAATACTTTTTAAAATTTATACTCACTCCATCTCGTAATTTGTGTTTTATATTAGCTATGCACATAATTTTAGGAGATATATCATATATCTAACTAAGGCAAATGATAAATTATCCCTAAATGATAATTAATTAATTTGACAGATTTATTTTGACAGGTGTGTAAAAGAGTGAGATATACATGGGTAAAAAAAGAAATGTAAGTGTTGTTGCTTGTTGAATTTTTTAATAGGATATTTTAAATGAGACGATTTTAAAAATTAAAAGAGACACGTTTAGTGGGACTGGGGGATTATAACTTACTAGTAAGGATGGCAACAGGGATTATAACCCTATCAAATTGGATGAGTCAAGTCGAAACTCATCTGTTTCAGATTAAATTATCATCCCTACTTATCAGCGAGTGACTTGTATAGGGAAATTGTTGCATTAAAATTCATGGGCTAGGGGATCCAACAGACAAAAGAAACATTTTACCCTTCAACAATTGGGTCTAACCAAGTTTAAATTGGGTTTTTATTGACAAGATTTTGTTCCCAACTGTAAAATAGGGTAAATTATGTAGATAATCTCTTATATTTTTGGTCTGATCGACTTTGATCACCAATTTAAAAATCAAGAGGAATAATCCTTAACGTTATCGATCCGTTTGATTTTAGTTCCTAATATTATCGATCCGTTTGATTTTAGTCCCTCAGTCATTAACTCCCATTCGATTTTAGTCCCTCAGCCATGTTAGGGACTTAAACAAAAGGGGTTAACGAAAATTAATGACTGAGGGACTAAAATCAAACGGATCGATAACGTTATTTCCCTTTAATTTTTAAACTAGTGACCAAATTCGAACAAACCATAATATAGGGACTATCCCCATAGTTTACCCTAAAATATGTCGGCTGGATTGAAATAAAACCGTAAACTCAATGGTGGGACCCATTCATAAACCCGAGGTCGGTTTGGTATCACAGTTGGAGTGGGACCACAAAATCCCCAAGCGCGTGGACTTCTCCTCTGATCCCGTCGAGTCGAGGAAAACAACAAAGGACCGGCCCCACACTCCACGTCTCTGTCTGAAGTCGGTGCGCGTTTCATGCTTCCCCATACGCTCGTCCCTATTTTGGATAACCGTTAAATTTATCGATTTCCATGCACTAGTCAACAAGTAAAGAAAGACTGAAAGAAAATAACTTTGACACGTGTCGAAAAACTAGCGAGCCACAGAAAAACCAACGACATAGGTTTCCACGAAGAAACGACTTCCTTCTTCTGCAAGTAAAAACCCTTGCTTTATTAAAGCGGGGGAATTCCTTGTATTTCCTCGTCTGCATCACTCTCTCATTCATACTCTACACAGCGAAAAACCCTTTTCATTTTCGAAAGGATATTTTGGTTGGAGATCTTTGTTATATACTCTACTGTTGGTTGTTCCTTCTTTGTTTCTGGCTGGTACTCAAATTATCAATCAGAGGAAAAAGTGTCCATTTTAGTGAGATCAGACAAGAGAGAGAACAAAAAAATGGGTGTTCTGGATCATGTTTCTGATCTGTTTGACTGTTCTCATGGCCGTTCCAAGCTCAAGAAGAAACGTAGGCAGTTGCAGGTATATAAGCTGTCTCTTTGTAAGTAGATTAAAATATCTGCTGTTTCTGTTGTGTTCTTAAGTTTTTTTTTTCCTGGATTCATTTGATTAGATTTAACTGGTTTGGGTCTCGGATCAGATCTACCCATCATTATGCTAAGGTTTTATGTTTTTGATGGGTTTTTCTTTGTCGGTTTATCTAAGCGACAAAACACCATGGATGCGTTTGTGGTTATCCGTTTTTGTCATGTTCCGACAAGCGGTACTTTGTTGAAAGCGTCACTAATAAAATATCAAACCGACCTGTAATCCTTTTTTGTTTCTCAGACGGTGGAGATGAAGGTGAAGATGGACTGCGAAGGATGCGAGCGCAAAGTGAAGAAATCAGTGGAAGGGATGAAAGGCGTGACGCATGTGGACGTGGACCGCAAGGCCAGCAAGCTGACGGTGGTCGGATACGTGGAGCCATCGAAGGTGGTGGCACGCGTGGGACACCGGACGGGCAAGAAGGTGGAGCTGTGGCCGTACGTTCCGTACGACGTGGTGGCTCACCCTTACGCCCAAGGGGTTTACGACAAGAGGGCGCCGGCGGGGTTCGTTCGCAACGCACAGGACTCGCAGGGGATGTATCTGGCACGTGCAAGCTCCACTGAAGTTAGATACACCACAGCTTTTAGCGACGAAAACCCTGCTGCTTGTTCTGTTATGTGATTTGATTAAGACGAAAGACAGAGAGAATATATTTTGTTGTATTGAATTGGTTTGGATCTTGTAATTTTTTTATTTTGGATCTAATCTATGTTTTTTTAATCGAAATATTATGAGTTCAAAATTTTTAAGTTTGATTCAAAGTTAAAATCAAAAACTAAAACTTGATTCGAACTCAAAAGAACTTGAATTCAAAATATTCTTAGACTTAATTTGGTTATAGCTCAAACTGAAACTGGAGTTAGAATTTAAGCCTTAAATACATAAAACTTTATATTGTATTAAGAAAATAATATATAAATATTAATATTATTAATAATTTAATTTAAAATTAAATATATTTTTTTGAGTTACTTGCAAATTTTTCGAGCCGTCTATCAAATAAAATTCGAGTCGAGTTCAAACTCCAATCAAATTTATTCCATTCAAATATTAATCAAACTATGATCAAATTCGAATGACTCGTAACCTATCTCATCTCAATTACAACCCAGCTATACATAGCTATAAGGGGAGGAAGCATGATTGAGTAGTTATGAACAAAGTTAGACAGTTGCCTCATTAAAATTAGTTAAACATTGACACATATAAACGTAAATCATGAAGGCTGGTAGGTAACTTTTAAAGTTGGAGTGATCCATTTGTTACATAAGGGTTAGACATATAAATAAGGATGGACTTAGAGATCATATTTATAAGAATTTTATAATTTAAATATTTATTTATTTTATATTTTATTAATAATTGGATTTAACATCTTTAAAATTTTATAATTTTACATCCTTAAAATTTTAATATAAATTCATAAATTCCTGCTGCATTCATGTTTATTAAATAAGACGCATAAGAGGCAAATGTAACCTTCGTACCAAAGATGGTTCACCACAAAAGCTAATAAAAATGGTGGGTGACAAGTGGGGTTCAATTTCCCACCGCCCAACTAATATTAAATGAAACTTTGTGGGAACACCAAAAGCAGAGGCTGTTTCCCTGTAATTCCCAATTCAATACTCTTGATCCAGAGATTCTGAATCCCAGTTTCGGTTCAAACATCTTTGTCTGAAATCGCCAGCAATAAAGACAAGAACAAGTCAACAGTTGAAATTCAGGATCTAAGAATGCTTGAATTACCCAACCTCAAACCCACACTTTCCTTTGTATTTTCGTTCCAACTCTAGCATTGTAGCATTAGCAAGGTAGACGAGGGTTAATCTCTGGGGTCCGTTATCACTTACAGACCATAATTTTTTATTAAAAGACGGCCACTTCACTCTCGAGTAGGCAACCCCACAGCTAAAGAATGCTCATATGCAAAAGGCAAACTTCCTGCGCTTTGTCAATGCCATGCAAAACCGGAATAGGAAAGGCCGAAACCAATGCAAGCTAATTCGTAGCTTCATATGTGAATCACAAAGCATGACTGCAAGGAGTGGAACTTGTAACTCACCTGTAAGGGCTCACACTTTCGAAACCTCAAAGTTATTCCACCATTTATTCTGTGGTTCAGCAATAACAGAGTTCATATACGTTAGAAAGCAGGAAAAACACTACAAAGCATAGCACAGCATCATTGATAGTAATTTCCGATGAATATCATACATTGTGAGTAAGAAGATGGGATAAGGCGTTTTATTGAGCCAAGTTTTAACTTGCTAAGAAACCAGACGTCTGTCACCACTCATAAAAGCTGCATACTATAAAAATCCAGAAGTTTCAGCTTCCCAAGTTTGTTGGCTTTAGAACCATAAACTAAAGACACCCTAAACCCACCTCTAATAACCCATAAGTAGGGTTGAAAAAAAGAGAACAGAAAATGAAAAACTAAAATAAAAAAAGCAACGCAACCTGACTAATGAAGGTTATGCATCCAAAGGAAACCGCTTGTTAGAACACAAATATGTACCCCCTTCCGAACGGTTATCAACCTGCTGTAGCTTGATGAACACCTCGGAATAAAATAAATGTCAGTATCACAGCCATAACACATTCAAAAGCAGAGTTTTACACATTGTATGCAGCTGTATTCAGTTTTGAAACAATCAACCATGGATCATAGTATTCCGAATATTGCAAAAAACAAGTGGCCTCCTTATAAGCACGGTTAATACACATAAGGACTTGGATAAGTTAGACATTCAACAACAAATATACTGTTTTTCTCTATACTATAAACATAGCCAAGTTTAACATGAGAGAGCAAAAACATGAACATAAAGAAATTTAATTTTTCAAATAATGTTTCACCACTGATGCTGGTCTTTATTTCTCATGTAAACTCCAATAACAAATACTAGTTATTTAATTAGAATTACTAGATGGTTAACATACTTAGAACAATCATGAACACTTATAATTGTGTCAAACACACTGTATAATTGGAAGTCAAAGTCAGAAATTACTGAATCAAATAACCATAGCCAAAATACTAGTTACAATTGACAATAAAATATCGATAAACCAAACCAGAATTAATGTTCCAGCATCCAACATAAATTTTATGAAGAAATTAAGATAAAGACTCCTAAATTATACCTTTCCTCCTTTTTGTGCTAGAAGAATTGCCATTGGATCCTCCAATTCTAACCCCACCGGTAGAAAGCTCATTTGCTCCAGAGTTCTGATTCGCCAAGCACTGAATATTGTCGAAGCCGCAACCATTAAATCCTTGTCCATTCAGCGCAGCAGCTTCTCCTGTTTTATCTTCACCTCCAGGATTAAGGCAATACATCTGATCGTTGCATTGCACATTGCAGGGATTCGTCACATAAGCATCACTAGGCACATTGATCATGTTAACATTAGTTGCTGGTTTCTGATAAGGAAACGATCCAATCTCCCCTTCGATTCTTCCTCGAATATCAACAAGCAAACACTTAAGCCTCACGACCTCAGCCTCCAATGCAGCCTGACCTTGTAATCTCTTCACCAGCTGCTGGTTCAATGCTCTCAATCTCACAACCTCGTCCTCCAAAGAAGCAGCTCGTGCCTTAACCTTCTCCCTATACTTCCTAACAGCTTCTCGATTACCTAAAGTACGTTTCTTCGATTTCTTCTCCCTAGACTCGGCCGAATCATCAACAGCAACATTATCTTCACTCGTGGCAGGCACGATTTTGGTGTGAAAATGAAAACATGTGTGCGTATGAGAGTTATCAGGGCCGGGTGGGTTGCAAGTGTGTGTATGGGTACAGGCATGGGAATCATTGAGTAATTCATCAAAAAAACTGTCCATCGAGCAACTGCTAGGAATATCACCTATGTTATTGCCGGAAAACACTTCTTGGTTCGAAAAATCAAGCTCCCCATCGTCCATCACAACACAAATCCCACTTAAATCTAGTAAAGAAGAGATCAATTCACGATTTTGTGCCTGACCCAATTAATAAACCGCGCTCAATTAGCAAGTAGCAATACCAAAGAAGCAAATTAAGGCATTCAAATATTATAATAATTCCCACATGAATGCTTATACATACAACCAAATTAAAGCAATTCAGTAACGACCCAGCACTTTTTTCATAGAAATCATTGCAACATATGAAAAAGAAAGTTCCCAATGGAAACGAATCAGGCAATTATCAACGAAAAAAGGAAGAAGTGTCTTACTCGGGAAAAAGACCACAGCAAGTGGAACAAGCTGAGACGAAACGAACAAGTCGATACAATTTAAAGTTCAACAGGAAATCAAAAGTACAAATATTCGGAAAAAGAGCATCGTTATCATATATTCGACGAACAGGTTTGCTGGAAAAATAAGCGGGGGCTGTTCGTTTCAGAGAGGGGGGTGAGAATAAAAAGCGTATGAATTAAGAAAAAACAAAAGATAAAAAAGAGATTATTTATATGAATTTTTTTAATAATGCTGAAAAGTTCATTGAAAAATGGTAGATTTATGATTTATGGCATTTTGAAGATTCCCAAAATGGACGTACCAGAAACAAAGTGAAAAACCAAGAGCCCATTTGGTCTTGTTGCAGAGATTCCAAGGCACTTCAGCGGCTTCACTGTAAATTTTAAGAAGGGTATGCGAATACTGCCTTTTGTTATTGGTATGATTAACTTTGATCACTAATTTTAAAAATAATCATTTATCCGTCTCATTATAATCTCAAATATTATCGATTCATTTAATTATAATCTATAATATTATTGATCTGTTTGATTTTAATCTTTTAACCGTTAACTGACATTAATCCTTTAACAAAAATATTACGTGATAATTAAATATTTAAAAAAAATCCATGTTCTTCTTTCTTCTTCTTTAAGAGCGAGGAAAATAATTATAGTTCACAAACCCAACTTCCAGAACCAAAATCCATAAACTCTAGAGAGACTAAACTCAACACCTTCTTTCATACCTAACCCAATATTTCTTCTATATTATTATTCCTTCCTCCAAGTTTCTAAATCTCTGTGTCTTCCTCATGACAAATAGTTTCACTAAGCCTTTGTCAAAAGCCTTCTTTAAAACGTTTTGGTTTAAGGTGCAGGTGTCGTCGTTTGAAGGAGATGAAGAAAAGTAGGGATAATGTTAAGAATATGAAGTTGATATCTAACTGCTTTAGTTGTTATAGTGGTTGAAGTCTGTTAGAGTTGTTAGAGCAGAATGTTAGACTTGGAATCAGTTTCCGTAAAGCTTATAAGAATAAAATACAATTCATTTTTTTAGTGGGATAGAGGTAGTAAAGGGTTTTTATTTATTCTTAATGTATTAAAATTTAGGATAAACTACATATTGAGTACTCAAACTATCAGTTTTGATTCGTTTTAGTACCTAAACTTTTAATTTTTTTAAACTATACCTAACATTTAGTTTTTGTTGCATTTTAGTACCCCGCCGTTGAAAGCTTCATGCATTAAATACCTAAACTATCAGTTTTGATTCGTTTTAGTACCAAAACTTTCATTTTCTTCAAAACTTAACGTTAAATTTTGAACATGATAATAAAATGAAATAAAAACTAAACTTTAGGTATGCTTTTGAAAAAAATTAAAAGTTAAGGTACTAAAACATACTAAAACTAATAGTTTAAGTTTAGTGTATTTACTCTAAAATTTATAATTTGTTGATAAAAAATATAATATTAATCATCCAATAATTACAATTGATAATTCTAGTTTCATATATCTAGGGATAGTTTAATTTTATCTTCTTCGATTTATAATTATTAATATTTAATTAATTAATTAATTTAAATTACATATAACAAAAGCTTATTTATGAGAAATGTTATTAGTTAGGACGAATAACATGGTAAGCCATATTCATCTATATATATTTTTTGTGAACCGGATTCATCTAATAATTTTTCCTCAGACATAACCCTCCCAAGTCAAATTTCTCTCTCTTAAATAATATCACTACTCAAAACCTTAAACTTCAAGATATAATTAATAAATACTCTTCTATTTTGTGAGCCGGATTCATCTATATATATTTTTTTGAGCCGGATTCATGTAATCTCTTTAAATCAACATATAATTAATAAATACTCTTCTATTTTGTCAACTTCATAAACCTTTGGAGTTTGGACAATCATATTATTATTTGCACAAGAATCAACGTTCTCCAAATTACACCTCAGCACTGGGTGCTGGTTTTGTCTCTTTTTCTTTATCCTCACTGTACAATACAAAAAAATCCCTAAACTGTGGTTCTTTTTTTTTTTTTTTGCAAACAATGTTCTTTATAAACTTCAAGATGCCAACTTTAAAAATGAATCTAATTGAAGCTTGATGATCGGCTCCATCTTTCTTTCAAACATCTTCCATCGAACAGTTTTGCTCTGCTCCATGCTACTAAACGATGAAGAATCATCACCAACATCAAGCATTGCAACACTTAATGCAACTCAGCCCTCGAATTCGGATAAACTTCATAATCATTTTGATGTTCTTGGCTTTCTGTAAATGTTTCAACTGCCTTTCCCCCTCTTAAGAGCTCAAGTATCTGCACAGAATTAAGGATCGATGCAAAATGTAAATGTACTTTAACCCGGATTGTTACTTAAACGATCTTATACGAAGGCTAGATTACTTGTAAGGTTGTAAAATCAGGTAATCGGAGAGGTTTCAGTCGGATCTTGGCAGGTTGGGTAAAATCGGGTATAGGTCAACTCAGGTTGATTTGACACCAGATCCGACGGGTTCAGGTCAGATTATTTTCAGTTCGGATCGATGTCAGTTCAGGTCAAAACAGTTCAGGTCCGAAGCAGATAAAGAACAGGTTAATTCATGTTGGGTGGACTTCAGTCGGATCTCGTTCAGTTCGGGTCACATCATGACAGATAA